TAAGTGGGTCAACATTTTTTAAAAAAATCAAATATTGCTTGCGTCAAATTGATTTAATTTAAATCAACTTGACCCACTGAAGCAAAAAATGTTACTTGGGGAAAATTTTATTTTTTGCTTCAGTAAAAATAAAAATTTATTTATTTTTATTCATTTCTATGAAAAATTAATTTTGCTTGAGTGGGAAAAATCGATTTAATTTTAAGAATCAATTTGACCCACTGCAGCAAAAACGTTACTTAAAGAAAAAAGTACAATTTTATTTATTTGTTTTTGCTTCAGCAGGTCAAAATGATCCTCGTTTTTATTTTTTGAAGCTCTGTTCTGTATAATTGTTTAACTTTATTTTCCATTCTGATGTTTACTTTTCCCAACTGATGGATGACGTCATGCTACACCTGTTTCCCTGCACTTTTCTGCAGGAAATCCCCAAAACCTGGTTTTATCCTCTAGTTTTCGCTCTCCTCCGTGTCGGTCCACAAGAGAAGCACAAAAATAAATATTTTTCAGCCTCCTTTCCCCCCCCCAGACACCTTCGTGAAGCCCAACCTGTGGCTGCTGGTCAACCCGCACATCGCCTGTCCCATCACCTACCGGGAGCGCGCGCCCGGGCCGCGGCCGGCGCGCGACCCGGCGCGTGCGCAGGAGCCGGCGGAGCGTCCTGCGCTTCCTCCGCCGGACGCAGCGCCCCCCCCCTCGTCTTCCTCCTCATCCTCCTCTTCCTCCTCCGCCGGACACACGGTAAAGGAGCGGCTGCACCTGTCCGTCCTGCCGCAAAGCAGCTGCAGATGACGCAGATGGCGGTAAACCGCGGCCACGTGACGCACAGAGTGGCGCAAAGTCAAATCCAGGCATTTCGGTTTAGAAAGTCTGTGCGTTTCTTTAAAAACAAAATCTTCATCAGTTAGTTGTAGGACGAACCAGCAGCAGGGCGAATGGAGCGCATGCGCAGACGAATAGAAACAAAAAACTCGTGTATTTCAACTCCCATCAGTCTAATCCAGGTGTCCACAGCTGGCCAGAAATATAATTTGGTGCAATATCAATTGGATTAAGACGTAAACCACCAAGTCCAGAGATTCTACCCTGTTATGTGGATGTTTTTGAAAATGTTTCAAATTCAGGGTAAAGTGATTTAAAATTGGAAAGTATCTTCAAATTCCAGTAAACCTAACGAGTGAATGAGCAGTACAATAACATGCTAACATAATGTGGCATTTCTGCTGCTTGTTGGCTCAAGTGTTAGTGTTTGAGGGGCAAATTATCTAATTTTATTCCAACAGTGCCAAATCTCCAGTGTAGTCTGACGCACCAAAAGTCCTTTATAAAAATATTGAACAACTTTTTACTCATCCCTGATGGAGAATAAAAAATCCCAATTTCTTTTCAGTAGCCAGGAAAAAATCAGCTTCAAATTGATTAAGAACTGATTGTTTTTCCCATGCTGTGATGAAACCTCATGGTGTAATGTGAGTCTAGTGCTGTTTTTGGTGCAGTTTCACGCTTTAATTGAATAAAATTTCCTTCCCTTTAACTGTCAGATCAAGACTGAAGCTGGACCCAGTCGACCAAACAAGAGCAGGCGCCAGGGGAGGACCACAAAGATCCTGGTGAGACCTCCGTTGTGTGATCTACAACGGGCCCTTAGCCGAGTTAAAACCACTTTAGTTATCCGATTTATCGTCAGAATTGTAGCATCTAAAGCAAAAAGCATTGGCCAACTCAACTCAAACTTTATGTATAAAGCACATTTAAAACAAGCTGGGTGACCAAAGGGCTGTACAGAGATTAGAGCTGCAGGAAATAAGGTAAAAACTAAAATGCATAAACGCAATGCAATAAAATGAGTTGAAATTTAAATAAATGTAAATTTTTTGGCCAGATGTCCACTTGGACTTGATTAAAAGCCAGGTTTGATTTAAAAGGGTTAGGGTCAAGGAGAATAAGTGTGTTTTTAGGGAGGATTTAAAACCCTCTAAAGATCCTGGGGTGTCTTAGTGAGCATTCTCCAAAGACGAGATGATTTGGTGATGATCTAAGTGGTGAAGCTGTCCTCCGGGAGCTGTTTCTGACCTGGTCTTTGCCCCCCCCCCAACCAGGAGGCGGTGAAGCCGGGCTGCTGGCCCCGGCCCCCGGTCAACTACTGCATCCTGATCGCCCTGGCCCTGAAGAGCAGCCACTCCGGGAGCCTCAAAGTCCAGCAGATCTACAACTTCACCAGGTTTCTAAAGCCCGAACCCCCCCCCCCCCCCAGAGTCTCCGGTCTGAGCCCAGTCCTCCTGGGGGTTTATTTATCCTCCTGAGACCCAAGCTTTTATTTGGCATGCATTTTAGCTTTTTTATTAAAGATATATGAGATACATATTTAATTAAATGTTTTTACAATTTTGTTCTGACAGTCCCATTGACTCATTTACAGTTTTTCTATTACACAATAAGAACATGATTGGATGGAAATGTATAAAACCATTTTACTTTAGATTTCAAACAGTGTCTGATAGCATCTGCTATGAGGTCAAGAGGTCAAAGCTGAAAGAAAAAAAGAAGTATCATGGTAAAGAGAGACAAAAATGCAACGTCCTCTTATGAGGACACAGGGTCTCAGGAGGTTATTGTTTATTTATTTATTCGTTTATTTGATAGGGACAAGTATGTTTCATGAAACATGTCACACACTATAACATTTTAGCTAAAGGCTAATTCTCAACGCCTGTCCCCAGTTAGGCTTTTACACCAAACACAGTGACTGTACACAACAGAACAAATTACACACTAAAACATCACAGATAAAAGATCAAGACAGTCAAAAAAGAAAAGAAGGTCTCCCCCCCCCCCCCCCCTCTTCCAGAGAGCACTTCCCCTTCTTCCAGACGGCGCCGGACGGCTGGAAGAACACCATCCGCCACAACCTGTGCTTCAACAGCAGCTTCCGGAAGACCTGCAACCAGCTCTGCCGCGACGGGAAGCGCAAGTCCTGCTTCTGGCACCTGACGCTGGACGGCCACCGCCGGCTGCGGGCCGAGCTGCACACGCTGGCCGGGGAGACCCTGAAGCAGCTGGAGAGGAGCATGTCCCAGCCCGGTGAGCCGGTCCCGGGTCAGGTCTGAGGGGTTTTTTAGCTAAAAAACCGAACGTAACGATGATATTTCCATCCAAAATGAGCAGAATTTAGGGTTAAACCGTACGTGACTGAGGCTAATCTGTGACTGTTTTTCTATTTTCAGATACAATTTGGAGTTTACTTGAAATGTGACGTTCAGTCTACTCTAAATAAAACGTTCAGTTATAAAGGTGTTTATGAATCTAGACTCATGTGTGCATGTTTTAACCCTGTAATGCCAAACGTGTCATATTTGATTCATACGGTTTCTGAAATGTTTTGCGTCTGACACTTTTTGCATAATTTAATGGAAAAAACTTTGCTCAAAATCCTATTGTACACAATCAGATACACCTGATAACAGCGGGCAGAAGACTACACAAAACATTATCTTGACATATCGCATAGTAATTATCAAAAATGTATTTATTTTTTTTTATACATATTTTGTTAAAAGGCCAAATAAGGAATTCAAACCAAAAAAGTTATTTCTGTTTTGTTTTATTCTTGGATCAGGCTGTAAAGGGTTAATTGATTGATTACTTTATTGATCTCCAAAGATAAGTTAACTTCCAGTACAGCCCGAACCAAGACCATACAAACCAAATAAGGGGGATTTAAGGGGAAATGCACCTTGTGTATAAAAGATAAATGAGCTTTGATGAATTTTGGGTTACTGCCTGTGCACATTTCAGGGGGAGGGATTGAGTTAATCTTTTTATACTTCAGTTTTCTTTTTTTTTTCTTTTTTTCTGAACTTTAAATGGGTTTTTTTTTGCAAACTCCAGCCCAAAAAAAGCCAACATGCTTCTCTTCTTTGGTCTTCAAATGTATTTCACTTCTTCAAGGCTGATGTGACTCAGTTGAAGCAGGAAAATGTTTCGAGCCCAGGACCCCCCTCTCTTCTGTGCACGTGTTGATTTGCACACACTGACGTGTCCTCGGGGCTGAAATGTGCTGGACGCAACTCGGCGTGACCCAGAAGACTTATTTGCCTTCTTATTTGTCTCTGAGTCAAATCTTCTCACTCTCCATCCCTGTAGGGAAATGCCCCCGGCGTTCCAGAGTACAGATGCTTGCTTTGTGGGTCTGGGATTCAAATGACCTCTCAGAGGAGGAACTACTGGACTGGGGACGAAGTCCAGGTGGACACTGACCGATCAGAGGACCAGCCCAGGGGTCAGATTAATACTTTACAGCAGAGCAGACCATCAGAAGAGGACATTCCTCCACTGTTTTTCTTTAATAACCAAACACCTTTTTGGTGGTCGTCTTTTTTTTAGGAGTTAAAAACTAAACGGATCCGTTTGGGCTTTGTGAGACGGAGATTTGAGGATGAAGAGCGGGATCTCCTGCCTCCTCCTCTTCCTCCTCTGGAGCGCCGCGTCTGCTCAGAAATCTGTGATTTCAAAGAAGTACTTTTACAAAAGCGTACATTTAAGTTGGCAGGAGGCGAGAGATTTCTGCACCAGGTGAGGTTTGTTTTTTACTCCTGAACCAGGGATGGTGGTCCCATCCGGGGGGGGTCCAGTAGATTTGTGCATTGATATTTATTACGCCTCACTATCTTGTGTTGGAACTGCTTTATCTGCTGTGATCAGCTACACTTTGTCGTGGTGCTCTTCGTTTGATTAGCCGGGATTTCCTCTTTTTTTTCTTTTTGTCTTTTCTTTTTTTCCCTTTTTTCTTTTTTTAAGCTGGGATTTCTGTCCCTTTTTTGAGAGGATTTTCCCCTGGTGTGAGCATCTCTTGGATCAGTAGGTTCAGCTCCTGGTATCTCACATGGTGTGGTCCACTCAGAGTGAGGAGCAGTCGTTAACCTGTCACCTCCTCCAGATCCACATCGTCTGGAGGGAGGAAAACCAAACCGGTCTGAGTTTCTGGTCGGCCCTGGTGAGGGAATCCTGTTATTGGAGCCACGTTAGGACCCGACTCCCCTCCATCTCTGGCTCTGAGTGTTCTTCTTCGTCTATTTCAAGTCTGACGTGCGTTTTTGGCCGTACGCTGTGAGCTCAGATCTCATATCGGGTCGTAGAGTGAGAGCTGAAACTGTGAGCTGTGACCTTTGAACCCTTAAGATTTGGTGGTGCAGTTTGAGTTGCAGCTAAGAGCTAGCGTTTATACATTTCCAGCTTCATTTATCCGGTAAAACTTAATACTGGTCAACACATTCTTCACGTTTGGAGATACTGGTCATTACAGCGCCGGTTTGTCCAAGAACCGTACCGGGAAATCAAACTTATTCTGATTCTGAAAACTGTCCTTCCTTCAAACGATTGAGTCTCTGAGTGACTCCGATGTGGAGAAATGAGTCCCAATCCGTTTCTGCAAATGAAACTGTGAATTATGGGATGAGCGTATTCAATTAGCTCAAGACCTTACTCGAGTGTGTGTGTGTGTGTGTGTGTGGATCCACAGTAACACACAGACTGGATGAAAAATGGTAAAAGTATTGATAGTAATGATAGCAGGAATAACAGACTTAGACTTGTACTTTATTGATCCCTTGGGAAGACTCCCTCGGGAAATGAAAAGATAATGAAAGATAATGAATAATGAAAGATAATTAAATAATTAATAAGACTATGAACAATTGTAGCAGAGTAGGAACACGGGGCTAGTATATATTTCATATATCTTCATATATCCATATCTTGAACATCCTCCCTACACTCTGCTTTAGGAATGTGTTTTTTCTGATGTTTGTTCCTCACACACAGACACTACACAGACCTGGCCACCCTCTATGAGCAGTCGGACGCCGACGGCCTGAAGATCAATTACTTCTCTGCCTGGATCGGCCTGTACAGGAGCGAAGACACCCAAGACGAGTGGGTGTGGTCCGATGGAGGAGAGTACCCGTTCTCCGGCTGGGCAGTGAACGCCTCCCAACACGGCCAGTGTGCCAGCGTCTTCAACCTGAACAAAAAGTAACGGCACGTTTGACTCCGGACAGGTTTAGGGAGCAGCCTCTGCCTGCAGCCTGTAGGAGCCTCGGCTGGATATCAGGCTCCTCCCACATCTAAGTCGGCCATTTTGATTAGGTCATGTGACTAGCAGCTTTCTGAGGTGGAAACGAAACTTTACTGTCTATACGAAATGGGAAGATAAACGATGTCCTAACCCTAACTCTGACCCTAAACCTGACCCTAACCCTAAACCTGACCCTAACCCTAACCATCCACCCTTCATAATTGTGAGAAATAAATATTTGTTGGTTAAACTTGTTTGGACTTATTGTACAAACCTATTTAACATCCACTATTTTAACATAGTATTATGGATAGAGTTTAATTCAGTGTTTGCAACATTCGTGTCACTATTTTTAAATGAATGTCTATATTGCCATGAAGCAATTAGGATTTTCGTGCCTGGGATCTTCCTATTGGTGACCTAATCAAAATGGCTGACTTGGATGTGGGTGGAGTTGGATATCCATCCTTGGACGGGACACTTTTACAGCACGTTGCAATGAAAACAGAAAAACAAACACCAGGCGTTGACCAATCTGCTGCATGTTGGTTGGTCAACGCCATCCATAATTTGCATTGATCTCCAAACTCTTAAATAAACTGTTTAAAATACAATCTGTGTTTCGAGAGAGAAACTAAACAGAAGCCGTGACTCCTGAGGAGCAGACATTTTCCTCCGTCTTCTCCAACAATCAGATTACTTTAATGCCACAATCAGAACAAACAAGCGTTCAATTTATTATAATTTCACAGGATATTTAATTGATCTAATTTGTTTCAATAAATCATTGTCCGTATTTCCAGTATTCCTGCCTATGTTTACAGAAATTATGGCTGGACTGAAGGTTTTACTCAAATATTTAAGATCATAATTCGATTTATTACAGTATAAACACGCTGGATCTTCTTAAAAATCTATGACAATTGAATTGAAATAAAAAAATGGGGGGTGCAAATTCTCTCACTTTACCAGATAATACGAGTTAACCTTTCATTTCACAATGTTTCCACTAAATATTCTGTAAAAGTGCAGAAAAAAATCAGTCTGATTCCTCCTCTTTTTTTGAAAGGGTCTACGGAGAAGACTGTGAACATCATTTGTTCTTCATCTGTCGCGGGTTTGGACCTCTGGACTACCGCCTGGTGCCGGAGTCCAGGACCTGGAACGAGGCGCAGCGGTTCTGCCGGGGGCAGCAAGCCGGCCTGGCCACTTTCCCCGGCGGCATCCTGGGGACGATGGTGGAGGTGGACCTGGAGACGCTGGACTTCCCCGTCTGGACCGGCCTGCACAGAGACGGTGAGGACAGCCTCCATTTTGGCTGAATGTCCGAGTGGCGTTTTATAATGAAAAACACATCTGGAGGCGGAAAACGCATGTGGCCGAGTGTCCAAGATAAATCAGAGAAAAACCAAAGTCCGTCTGGCTGCAGGAAGCCAAGGATGGATATCCGACTCCCCCACATCCAAGTCGGCCATTTTGATTAGGTCGCCAATAGGGAGAAAATCCTAATTGCTTCATGGCAATATAGACATTAATTTAAAAATAACGAAATGAATCTTGCAAACACTGAATTAAACTCTATCCATAATATAATGTTAAAATAGTGGATGTTAAATTGGTTTGTACAATAAGTCCAAACAAGTTTAGCCAAAAATTATTTATTTCTCACAATTATGAAGGGTGGAGGGTTAGGGTTAGGTTTAGGATTAGGGTCAGGGTTAGGGTTAGGTTTATGTTTAGGGTTAGGGTCAGGGTTAGGGTTAGGACATTGTTTGTCTGCTGATTTTGTACAGAGAGTAAAGTTTTGTTTCCACCTCAAAAAGCTGCTAGTCACATGACCTAATCAAAATGGCCGACTTGGATGTGGGAGGAGTTGGAGGCTCCTACAGGCTACTCGAAAAAACCCAGAGCCAACACCAAATCAATGGAGTTCCCTGTTAGACTCACAAGTACACCAGGGAACCAAAGGAACTTAGGGGGAGAACAAAGTTTATTCTACATATAGTTTAAAACCGTTCAATGTGATATCCAAAAAGAATAACGCTGTTCAAACAACTGTTCAAACAAAGGTTTTAGACGTTGGTGGGTGGAAGAAACAAACCAAACAAACCAAAATTAGTAACAAAATAACCCACAAACTATTAACTAAAACCCTAAATGACAAAGTTCAGTTTGGACCTCTAAGACTGACCGGCGGAAACGCAGTTGAAAGCATAAAATAAGCACAGAACCACTTAAATGAAACATTAGTCTAATTATATAAAGGCACCGTACACACTATAATTAGCTGTAATACCTGTAATACAACCCCCCCATCAGCACTGCTGCACCCCCCAGGCCAGCCTCCAAACTTTGGCCCCCACAGGCTTTTATCCACCACAAATCCAGGAGGGAAACGGTGCGTTTGATGACCCACCACAGGGTGGGAAAACCTCATTGTGAGCCCCCAACAGTTCAGGGTTCCCCCACAGAGGCGAGTTCCAGTGGATTGACGGGCTCCCCGGGGGTCTGTGCTGTGCAGGTGGGGGGTGGAGGTGGAGCGGGGGCCTGTCGGCCTACAGGAGGTGGAGGGGGGGGGAGCCGGGGGCCGGCGGGGGGTGCGCCTCCATCTCCTCCGGGGGGAAGCAGATGGAGGCGCGGGACTGCGGCGCCCGCCTCCCCTTCGTGTGCGTGGCGGAGAACGTGGTGCTGGTGCGGGAGAACCGGAGCTGGGAGGGGGCGCTGGAACACTGCCGGGGGCTCGGCCAGGACCTGCTCAGCCTGCAGCCGGGCCCGGAGCACCGGTACGTCATGACCAAGGTGGCCCAGGCCCACAGCCAGGAGGTGGGACACAGCCGAGCGACTGTTCTACTCTTTAGGACTCATTCTGAGTAGAAATGTGGGTCTTACAGGCTCATTCTGGGTCATTCTGGGTTCTACAGACTCATTCTGGGTCCTACAGGCTCATTCTGGGACATTCTGGGTTCTACAG